GCACAGTGGTTTGGCGCCTGTCTTTGGCCCAGGGTGCGATCCTGGAGACCCGGGATCGAATCCCACGTCGGGCTCCCGGTGCATGGAGCCTGCTTCTCCCTCTGCCTGTGTCTCTGCCTCTCTCTCTCTCTCTGTGACTGTCATAAATAAATTAAAAAAAAAAAATAAACTACCTGTTCTATACCTTCTCTTAGACATTTTGTGTCCCAAATCTGACTCAAGACTTTCATCTCAAACTTGGATTTTCTCCTCTGTTCCGAATCTTGGGAAATGGACCCACCATCTTTTTTTTTTTTTTTTTAAGATTTTATTTATTTATTCATGAGAGACACAGGCAGAGGGAGAAGCAGGCTCCATGCAGGGAGCCCAAACTGGGACTTAATCCTAGCACTCCGGGATCACACCCTGAGCCAAAGAAAGGTAGGTGCCCAACTGCTGAGCCACCCAGGCATCCCAGGATGTAGAGATTAAATAAATTAAACTTTAAAAAAAAAAAAAAAGTCGCAGGCTCTACTGACTGAGCCAGCCAAGCGCGCTGATTCCCACTGTTTTTGTGCCTTCTGGTGCTACACATGCTGGAAAGTTCAAACACTTCCTGACTCCCTTGTACCTCAAGCTCCAGCAAGTAGATATACTTAGCATGAGGTCTGAAGGTGGAAGTAAGGCAAGAGTCAAATAGTTTCAGCTGTTTCTGCTCATAAGGAAGGTTGTGGAGACACTAGTGTCATGTCTCTGGCTTCAAAAACATATTTCATTGTCCTGAATTGGCAGTGGTCTTCTGATCCTGGCAGCCTGTCCTTGGATGGTAGGTTCAGTAGTGTGTTCTCAAATTCAACCTTTCCAGTGAAGGCTTCCTGGTTCCTTTCCATTAGAGGTAGCAGCTGCTTTAGTAGGTTAGTTCAGTTAGTTCTAGGAGTCATTCCTAATACCCTACCTAGGCCCCATTATTTTCTTCAATATCTAGAGTGGTTTGTTTCTAAACCTGGACTGAATACACTGGGCTTCATTTGGTTTCTAGAATGGGCCATGCTTCCTCTTGCAATAGGGTTGTTATACTTGTTATCCCTTTCGGCTAGGCTAATACACCCTTGCCAACCACATCTCATTTTTTTTAAATATTTATTTATTCATAAGAGACACACAGAGAGGCAGAGACACCGGCAGAGGGAGAAGCAGACTCCGTGCAGGGAGCCCGATGTGGGACTTGATCTCGGGACTCTGGGATCCTGCCCTGAGCCAAAGGCAGATGCTCAACCGCTGAGCCACCCAGGCATCCAATCAACCCCATCTGTCAATTAAACTCCTTACACAACTTTTTGATCTCAGTTAAGATGTTTTCTCTGGAAAGTTATCCTTCACCCTCAAGACCAGATCAGTCTCTGTTTCTTTTAGTGCTTGGTCATAGTTTGTGTTGAGTCCCAGGGACCTTGACTATGTTGCTGTATTCCATTGCCTAGAAAGAGTTGGTGTTTATACATGCTAAGTAAGTGGATGGAATGGAGGTGGCTAGACTGGAGGGGGTCAGGACAAAGACCTCTTAAGTAACACTGACAGGCCCAGGATTGCCTCTTCACGGCCTTTTCCCAAGCGTATCTTTCTGTGAGTCTGCAGCCACCCTGAATCCTGTGTGCTCTGGCCTCTGGGCCTTTGCACAGGCTGTTTGTGATGTGGTCAGCTCTGCCCTCTTCACCTGGCTTATTCATCTTGTAGGCTTCAGTCAGGACATCCTCTCTTCCAGGAGATCGGTACTTCATACAATATACACTCATCATATTTTTTCAGAATATTTAAAAATACCTCACATTATTTTAAAAACTGCTCATTATCTATCTGTATCTCCCTCCGCAAGTAACTGTCTCATTGCTGACTGTGTGCAAAGTGCCTGGCAGGAGGGCTTGGCTCTAATGGCCCCAGCTCTCTGTTGAAAGCCGGATTAGGGCGTCAGCTAGTCAGCCAGCCTCAGTCTGGGGATCTCTGCACAATCCCTAGGAGCCCATGAACAGTGAAAGATTGTAATTTGGGGGTTGCTAGATCAGGAGAGGAAGCTGGGGGAGGTTTGTTCCGTTCCGGGCCAGGGCTCCGTCCCCAGACCGCCAGGCAGGAGGCCCTGGAGCAGATCCTGTGGGGGATGGGCAGGGAACTAGTTTCTTCCTCCGCTCCCGGCAGGAGAGTTGAGGGGTGGGGGAGGGCAGAGAGAGAGAAGATTCCTTCCAAGGAGGCTCCTTGGCACAGGGCCCGCTTGGAGGGAAGGCGGGTATGATGAATGCAGGCTTTCTCCCAGCCTCCCGCTCCAGGAAGGAGGGAAACCCAAGGCAGAGAAGGAGAGATGAGGGGGAGGGATGGAGGAGGGAAGGGTCTGTATGCTTTGGGAGACAGAAAAGAGGGGCTTATCTGGTGTGGACAGGCAGGGCTCCTAAGAGCCCACCAGGCCTCAACACCACCTTATCAACTCTGGAAATATCCTCAAATCACTGAGTTAGAGAATCAAGACATTGAGAACTTTAGTTCTTGGCACTGGATCACTTTAAGGGCTCAGAGCTGAAAATCCTTCAGTCAGTTGTGTCTGGGGTTTCCAGGGCCGGGTTGGAGGAGTCTGCTCCCCGGGAAGTTTCCTGGACTTTCTCTTTCTCCCTTAATACCTGAAGAGATGACATTTTTAAAAGCCTAGAAATAGTTTAATTCCAATTCATGGCACTCAGAGTAACTGTAAAATGATGAAGCTAACATCTTATTTCTGCCTTCCCCATTTTAATCTCCTGAGGCCAGAATCCATCTCTCTCAAGTTAGTACCATTCAGAACTGTGGCCTCAAACCTGGCTGCGGGTCAGAATTGCTTGGGGCTGCTTACTAAAACTATTTTCACTCACACCAGCAATTTTGATTCCTTGGAGCAAAGTTAAGGCTTAAAATTTGAGTTTTTGCAATGTGCTGAGTGCAATGCATCCACGGGGTTTAGGAAACAATTCCAAGGGGCCTGGCACAACAAAGTAGGTGCTAAGTATAGCCAGCAGGGGTTGGAAATGTGGTTGCAGCGTAAACAAATGTGTAGAAGTATAGATTGAACTAGAGCCTATGTACCTGAGGATCTTACACTTTGAAAGGAGATAGGGCAACAGTGTTAGCAATACAAAAGATAAATATTTATTCAGAACAAAACTTTTTAACAATCGATTTTACATTCTAAGCCACAAGGAAATAGCAAAACATAAAGCAAAGGAAAAACAAAGACTAAAAAGAAAAGCAGTGTACTGTCTCTTCTACTTTAACTTGGTAACACTTATTGACCCAATGCCCTCTTGCTTGACCTATTTTGCAAGCACATTTTAGAGTTAACAGCTTACTTATGATTCCAGGTTAAAATCACCTTTCTCCTGCGAGTCAGGAAATTGTAGATGAGCTCCAGTTAGAGGCTTCTCTGGGGTTTCTAGCTATTGAGGCTAAGGTGCAAATGTAAACCTCTGGTAGGTCTCCTTATTCAGGAGCACCCCCATTTCTAAGTGGTGGCAATGAACGATGAAGGGTAAGGCCCCAAAGGACTTGGCACTTTAATCCAGATATGACACCCCAGGGAGCAATGAGTGCATCCTAGATTATGTTCCTTTGTTCCTTCCTTATCTCCCAAGTATTCAGAAGCCCTGCTAAATCCCTTTCTGCTTCTCCCTCCAGATGATTTCTTAGCATTCTTCTGGGCTCATCATTCAGGAGGGATCAGACTTTCTGGGCCCTCAAGTGTTGAGGAAAATGTTGTGAAGTGTGAGAGGTAGTGGAATGAGCACCGGGCTTGGGGTCAGGGAACTCTACTCTAGGCTAGCTCTGGCACCAGACAGCTATGTGATTTTGACCCAGTCATTTAACCTCTATGGGCCTGTTTCATCTGCTGGAAGTCCAAGGGATTGGTCTAAACCAATATTCAGTTCCTTTCCAGCAAGAAAATTCTAATTCCATGATTCTGTGAAAAATGGCTTCTGAGCCACTGAACAGCTGTCCCAAAGTCCTTGCATTCTAATGCCACAAGAGAGGCCCTTGGCCACCATTCAGAGCTTATTGACTCAGATTACATACACTTCTAACAACACTGGTTTCACAAATTCTCAGACCACATAGAATAGAAGCAGCAAATTAAAAGGGGAGGGGAAGAGCTGCAAAAAGTAGACACCCTGACAGAAGCCACAGTCAACAATGTTCTCAATTCAACAAACACTGATGGAGTGCCTACTACGTGGTGGGCCCCGTACCCAGTGCTGGGGCATAAAGATGAGCAAGGCAGCCCAATGGGTGAAAATCCCGGGAGAAGACAAGGCGTGGGGAGTAAAAAGTACAAAAAAATAAAAACAACCCCACACAAAACCACAAAAAAAAAAAAAACCAAAACAAAACACAAAAACCCAGATACAAAAACGAAAACAAAATTTTAAAAAGGGGGAGGCGACACTACAGTCCTCGGTAGTTACTGATGACAGAGTCACCAATTCAGAAAAGGCTGAAACGGAGTAAACTCGGTTTAAGAAGGCAGAGAGAGAGAGCGAGAGAAAGATGTCTCTTGTAGATTTAAAAAGATCTCCTTCGAAAACGATAAAAAATGGTTTAAAAAAAAGTTTTGGCACTTAAGAGGGGTAAGCTGGCTCTGTGTTCACCCTGGCAGGCAGGCGGGTGTTCAGTGCCCAGCCACCCCAGTTAGCTGAGCTGCCACGGAATTGTGAACTGCTTTGGGACACTGGGCAAAGGCGTGTCCTCGCTTTCCACAGAGGTTACACACGATGCCCTTCCGGCAGTAAGGGCTCAGGTGCCCCTCCTCCCCGCACCTGAAGCACCTGTCCTGCGTGCAGCTGCCGCTCATGTGGGTCCGGGAACCACATTTAAAGCACGTCTTAGGCTGACCCTTGTACCAGCTGTAGCCCCTCTCGGCCCCCAGGAAGAAGGCCCCCGGCAGGTGCCTAACCCCGCCCTCCCCCTGGCGCAGCTCGATCTCACACTTGTACTCCCCGGTCCAGATCCCAAACCTGTCGGTCACTTTCACCGGCACGGCCAGCACATCGCAGTGGCGCTTGAGCCAGGTCACGATATCCTCCACGTCCACCGTCTCGTTCCGGAAGAGGATGAAGAGCGTCTTCAAGCTGGACTTGCTCCGCCCCAGCACCACAAAGTTCTCCCAGCAGTCCTCCTGCTCGCGCTTCTCCTCGTAGACGCGGAGAAACAGGGCCAGCTTTTCCGCGGAGCGGAAGCTCACGTCGAACTCGCGGCTGCCCGGGATCTGGATGACTGCGTAGATGTCGCTCGGGTCCATGCCGATGGAGCGCAGGATGAGCGCGCCTACTACGAAGTCCCGCGTGGGGCAGGCGCCCTCGTCTCCCTGGAAACAGATGCGCACGAGGAAGCGGCCCTTGCCCGGGCCCGCCGCGGGGCCCGCTGCCACTGCCTGCTCGTCCTGAGCGGGCCCCTCGGCCGCGTCCTCGGCCGCGCCAGGCCTGGCCGGGCCCGCCATGGCCGCCGCCTCGGCCTTCTTCCTCCGGCCCGCCTCGGCTGCACCCTTCTTTTTGCGGGGGTCCGCCGCCTCGCCGGCCGGGTCTCTCCGCCGACCCTTCGGGTCCCCGCGGCCCGCCGGGGGGAAGTCGCCGAGGCCCGGCGCCGCCAGGCCCGCGGGGCCGCCGAGCCCGCCGCCCACGCCGCTGCCGCCCTCCTCCTCCCGCCTCGGCGGCCGCGACTCGCGGAACTCGCCTTTCTTCTCGGCCAGGTTCTTCACCACCTGGGCCCAGCCCATCTTCTCGCGGCCGCCCTCGGCCTCCTCGCCGCGGGCCGCGGGCCGCGCGGGGGGCAGGAGCTGCGGCCGCCCCCGCTTCCTCTCCTCTTCCGCGCCGCCGCCGGTGGCCATTTTACCTCCTTCCCAGCATCCTCCACTCGCTCCCTCAGCCAAAGGGCGCCCATCCGCGCGCCCGCCCGCCCGGGGCTGTGGGGGGTTTGGGGGGTGTGTGTGTTTGTGTGGATTTTTTTTTTTTTTTTTGAAATTCGACGCTCCTCTCCCCCGCCCAGCTGAAGGTATTTACCCGCGGCGCGCTGCGGCCGGCGCCGGCCCCGAGTCCCCGGGTAACGGCCGCGCCGCGCCTCCGCCGGCGCGCGCTCCGGCCCCACCTCCTGGGCGCTGAGGCGGGAGGCGCCGCCTGGAGCGCGTCCCTGTCCCTCGCGAGGGCTTGGCAGCCGCGGGCCGCGCTCTCGAGGATTCGCTCCTTCGCCAGCGGTCCTCGATCTCGTTCAGGCGGCTTTGCGGACGGCCCTGCGGCCCCGAGGCGGCCCCGAGCTGGGGAGGAGCTCGCCCATTTTGTTTTCTCTCTATGTACCTTTCTGTTCGACAGGGAACAAAACGAAACTACCCCCTCCTCTCCGAGCGCACGGCCGTGCATTGTCTTTCCAGCGTTGGTTATGGACATTTTAAAACCTAGAGAAAGTTGAATTTTACGGTGGACATTTTACCTTTAACTTTGGACTATTTTAACTTTCCATCATTAGAATTTTTACTATGCCTCATCCCACTACACTTATATCCATCAGTCCTTTTTTTTTTTTTTTTTTAAGATAACGTTTCTAAGTATTACTGCATTATTTTTAAAAAAGACCTCCATCATACTCATGGCGACTATGGTAATATATTGGGCTCTTAGGTGCCCGGTACTGTTCTAAGCATAGTAGGACATTGCGAGATTTATCACATGGAATCTTCCAGAACCACGCTGTAATTTACACCCATTTTACAGGAGGCAGGGGCTTGGAGACAGGGTTAAAACACTTGATCAGGTGGCAGAATTAAAACAGGCGACCTCATGTAGGTGACTTATATTTCTAAAACTGCCTTGCTTCTCACGTTGTGGGTTAAGGCTGTTTGCATCAGACTCTTCCAGAAAATCTGGTTAACACAAAGATGCTCGGCTAAAGTTGGCGCTGGACAGAATTCCTATTCCTCCTTCATCTGTCTGAACTGGTGCTTTGGAAGCGTTGATAAAGTCTAGCTGTTTGAGGGGATGTGTTTAACAATATCCTTTGTTAGCTCTGTTTTCTTCATGCAAGTCTGTGTGCATTTCAGGGTGCTTCAGTGACCATTGTGACTTTAGTGAAAGAAGAGGTGGACTGTGGAAGCAGGAGGCCCTAGTGTGAATCTGACTGCTTGGAATCTCAGCCTTGTCACATGGGGCCAATGACCTCAGACATTGCTTCAGTTTGCTCATCTGTAACAAAGGGATATTAATGTCTACTCTCAGAGGACTAATGTTGGGGTTCAAGTAGAGAGCCTGTGTCAAAGTGCTTGGTCTACAGTGGGTTCCCAGGAAAGATGATGTTTCCTTCTGTGTTGGTGTTGGATTCTTTCTTGTTTCTCTGACACTTCTAGTTTTGCTTAGCATTATAGAGTCCCTGTCAGTTCTTGTCTTACGACCTTTCGACCTTTCTCTTCACCCTAATTCCACATATTTGCCTCAGGGAAGCCAACATCCCCAAGTCTTGTGCCATTTGGACCTTGCATCTTTCACACTATAACCTCTGGTGTGCTTTCTTCCATCCTTTCTCTGCCACTTATTCCCATGATCCTGCTCAGATCACTACCAGAAGCATCAAACTCTTAAGAGTCACACGATCCACTCTTCTTTCTGCTTGGCAGCTCACTGGGAGGATATTTACAAAACTAACAGAACCCATGTAATTTTAAATTAACCTCTTTTTTTTTTATTTATTTATGATAGAGAGAGAGAGAGAGAGAGAGAGGCAGAGACATAGGCAGAGGGAGAAGCAGGCTCCATGCACCGGGAGCCCGACGTGGGATTTGATCGCGGGTCTCCAGGATCACGCCCTGGGCCAAAGGCAGGCGCTAAACCGCTGCGCCACCCAGGGATCCCTAAAATAACCTCTTCTATATCTCTTACCCTATCCTCCCACCCGAGCAACTATCATACACATATCTATAGGATGAGGCATGTGCCTTAAAGAAGAACAATGTGCTGAGTGAGCTGGAGAGCAGTATTCGATTTGAAGGGGCAGTCACAAGTCAACTCCCGCTGATTATTGCTCTCCATAAGTGAGAGCCTGCTATAGCTAGATACTCCATATACTAAAGAGAAAACCGAACTCTATTTTATTTATGGGAAGCATTCTTCCTTCTCCTTCCACAAGTCTGTCTCAGCTATATTTGGATCCTCTGTACAAAATTTAGAACCAATATACTAAGTTCCAGGAAACCACTTTTTGGGATGTCAATTGCAATTGCATTCAACTTGTACCAGAATTAGCCATTTTATAATATTAAATTGCTCCATCTATGACCTCACTGGATTTCTCATTTAAGTCTTATTTTTATAAATTGCAATAACATTTTATAGTTTCTTCATAAAGGTCTTGCATAATTAAAAAATTATTGTAAGGTATGATACTTGATTGCCCTTGTAAATATATTTAGAATATTTGTTATTGGCATTTAAAGGGAATACAGTTGAATTTTGTGTAATAGCAACAGTGCTGACATCTTTTAAAATTTTCAGTGGTTTTTAGAATCACTGTGCTTTTTTAAAAAATTATTTTTTTTTTATTTGAGAGAGAGAATGAGTGGTGGGGAGCGGTTGGGTGGAGTGGAGGGAGAGAATCACACTCCCTGCTGAGCAAGAAGCCTGCTGCTTGCTCAGGGCTCCATCACAGGACCTGGAGTTCATGACCTGAGTCAAAGGCAGATGCTTAACCCACGCCTCAGTTTGTTTTTCTATGATGATAGTCACATTGTCTGAATAACAAAGGTTTTGCTCTTCTGTTCAGATCTTATACTTTTTCTTATCTTACTACACTAGCCAAAAACTGTCATATAACCAACATATATTAGGCATTTTTGTTTTATTTCTGACTACAAAGAGATCTGTATTTTGAAAATATTTGATCTGTGGATTGGGTTCTAGGTCCATCTGGAACTTTACTAATAACATCTTGTAAGATTTTGTTGGTATGTGTATAGCCATTCCTTCCATCAATTCCATTTTTCTCAGCTCAAATTTTGCAGGTCCAAGATTTCTGTGTTCTTTTTTGGTTATTTTTGGCTTTATTTCTTGTTGATTATCACTGCCAGCAATTTTCCCTGTGAGTTGGATAAAAGACTGAACATTTTAATTTATTTTTCAGTGACTTTTTTTTTAAGAGTGAGTTTTCTGACCTTTTTTTTTTTTTTTTTAAAGATTTTATTTATTTGATAGAGCACAAGCAGATGGAACAGTAGGCAGAGGCAGAGGGAGAAGCAGACCCCCTGAGCAGGGAGCCTGATTTGGGGCTCAATCCCAGGACCCTGGGATCGTGACCAGAGCCAAAGACAGACGCTTGACAGACTTAGCTACCCAGGTGCCCCTTCAGTGAATTTCTTTAAAAACTGTCAGCCATTCTCCTTAGCAGTGTTCTAGCAGTCAGACTGGCCTATTGTGGAGATCACAGAACCAGGGGCCAGGCAGGTACCCTCTGAGCAAATCAGTCCAGATGGGTACCAAGGCCATCTACAAAGGGGAGGCACGACTCATTTCTGGCAAATTACTGCCATAGAAGGATATCAGAATTGGTCAATTTGGCACCTTAGTCTAGATTTTATTTATTTTTAAAAAGATTTTATTTATTTATTCATGGGAGACAGAGAGAGAGAGAGAGAGAAGAGGCAGAGACTCAGGCAGAGGGAGAAGCAGGCTCCATGCTGGGAGCCCGATGTGGGACTCCATCCGGGGACTTCAGGATCACACCCTGGGCCGAAGGCGGCGCTAAACAGCTGAGCCACCCAGGGATCCCCCTAGTCTAGGTTTTAAATGACAGTCTTCTGGAATTGAATTTTTTTTGTTAAAATATTTTATTTATCTATTTGAGACAGAGTGCGCGAGAGCGAGCGAGTAGGGGGAGGGACACTGGGGGACAGAAAGAAACAGGCAGGCTCTGGGCTGAATTCAGATCCCAACACAGGGCTCTGTCTCATGACCCTGAGGTCATGACCTAAGCTGAAACCAAGAGTCAGATGCTCAACTTACTGAGCCACCCAGGCACCCCAGATTTGGACTTTTTAAAAAAAAGCTCATTAGGAAACTCTGGAGGAGGCATGATTTGAGTTGGACCTTGAAAGAAGTAGGTTTTGGAGAGCAAGAGAGGAAAAAAATCTGTGGCCACATTTTGGTAGGCAGGTCTCTCTGTCCTGCAAGGTTGTAGTGTGGGTGTGAGAGGAAAGGAAGGTGTGTGTATGTGTGGGTGGTGGTCGTAAGTGGTATGAATCCAGATGTACTTTGAAAGTATGACAGACTTGATGTGGGATGAGAGGTGAATCAAAAGATGAATCAAGGGTGACTTCAGGAAGAGGGCTGCCATTTTGAGTTGGAGGAAGAGTTGCATGTTAGAATTGCCTATTAAGGGATACCTGGGTGGCTTAGTGGTTGAGCGTCTGCCTTCAGCTCAGGTTGTGATTCCAGGGTCCTGGGATCGAGTCCTGCATCAGGTTCCCCACAGGGAGCCTGCTTCTCCCTTTGCCTGTGTCTCTGCCTCTCTCTGTGCATCTCTCATGAATAAAATCTTTTATTTTATTATTCATGAGAGACACAGAGAGAGGCAGAGACACAGGCAGAGGGAGAAGCAGGCTCTATGGAGGGGAGCCTGATGTGGGACTAGATCCTGGGACTCCAGGATCACACCTTGGGCCGAAGGCAGTTGCTTAACCACTGAGCCATCCAGGCTTCCCAGTAAATAAAAATCTTAAAAAAAAAAAAATTGCCCGTTAGGCTCTCAAGTTGAGATGCTAAGTAGGTGGTTGGAAGTGTGTAGCTGGAATTCAGTGGAGAGGCTGGAGATACGAATCTGGGAGGCATCCAGGTAGAGCTAGCATCCAAAGTCACAAGACTTGAAGGAAACATGAATGGAGTGTGAATGGAGAGAGAGGGCTGGGACTGAACCTTGAGACACTCAGTAATAAAGGAAGAAGGGGATGAACCATCAAAGGAGAGATCAGGAAGCCACTTGAGAGTGGTTTTTAGGGCACCTAGTTTAGAAAGTGTTTCAAAGAGGGAGTGATCTGCTCTGTCAAATGCTGCAGATAGGCCAAGTAAAACGACAGAGGAGTCACTGTGGCGTTTAGCAAAGCAGAGGGCACTGGTGGCATTGACAAGGGGAGTTTTAGTGGAGAGGTGGAGAATGAAAGCCTGACTGAAGAGGTGGAAAGGAGCGGGCAACAGTAGGTAAACCTCTCTATGAATTGTGCTGTAAAGTGAAGCAGAAATTGCAGGGTAGTTAGATGCAAAGTGGTCGCTTTTTAAAATCGAATAAAATATGTTGGTATACTAACGGGAATAATACATATGGGAATAATACAGGATGATGGGAGAAAACAGAATTGCTGGCGCGGTCTCTTAGAGAAAAATGAAGAGAGTAGGCTGGCTTCAGTGCACAGTTGTAGGAATCGGGCTTAGGCAGTTTATACTGTCACAGGAGGGAGGCGATTAGGTGGGTAAGGAGGTGATGTGAAAATGCGAGTTTACTGATCCTCACGATTTTCTTAAGTGTTCTAGTAAGCAAAGTCATTAGCCAAGAATAAGGATGGAGAAGAAAGCGCTGGGGGTTTGATGAGAGGAGAAATATGACAATTCTTTAGGATGATGGGCAGGGCCAGGTGAAAGATTGGATGGAGTAGGACTCGGAGAGGTTAGTCCCTCTAGGCACTCGGTAGCCTGCGTCCGTTTCCTTGGAGACGGAGAGGCGGGACTGGTCTCGCTGGGAAGCCTCAGCGGCCTGGGTTACCACGCGGTGCACGCTGAAACAAGAGAGTTGGAGACTCCGAGTAGAGAAGTATCGCAAGAGATCAGGGCCCCACGGACCCACGACTCTTCTTCCATTTTCCCCAATGGCGCGCGTCTTCCTGAAGTAGGTCGAGGAATCGAAGGATGGCGGAGTGCGCATGCGTGTCCCCCTTCGCTGGGCCCGCGCGGCGGTCTCTTGACCCCGCCCCCTCCCTGCCGCCGTCCCGCCAGCCCCGCCCTCCCTCGCCAGCCCCGCCCTCCCTCGCCAGCCCCGCCTCTCCCTCGCCGGCCCCGCCCCTCCCTCGCCAGCCCCGCCCTCCCTCGCCAGCCCCGCCCTCCCTCGCGCTCTCCCTGCCCCCGCTAGCTCCCGTTCCTAGTGAACTGTGGTCTCTGTGGACGTCCCACGCCTGTTTCACGCTTGCTGCTTACAGTCCCAGGGATTGGGAATGATGGAAGTTCTTTCCCGCCCCAACTCTTTCCAGACCCAAGCACCCTGGGATTCACTCCACAGTCTACAACTTCCAGATTCCGGTGAGTTGGGGAGGCCTTAGGGGGAGATGGGGGCTTGCTGACCCTGGGGCCTGGCCCTCAGTCCGCCACGGCCGGGACTGTCCCGGCCGATAGAACCTGGAGCCTTGAGTGCCAGGCCTACGTGTCTCACACATTTGCCGTAGGACCCGTGCCATGCCTCCAAACACCTTATCAGAATATGAGGGTATAATACACTGCTTCTTAGTCATCTCTGATTGCTCCTCTGGTTTCCCTTTGGGTCTTTTCCCTGCCTTGTGTTTCTCACAGCCTGGAATCCAGCTTAGTAAATTATGGCTGGCTGATAAAACAAGTGATAGCTAACATTTATGGAGCTCTTACCACATGCTTTACAAATATCATCTCTTGGAATTCTCCCATCAACCTGTGGAGGTAGGTTTTATAATTAGATCTAGTTTACAGATGTGAAAATTGAGGCTCAGACCTCAAAAGTCACTTGTTCAAGGTCACAGATATCTGTAAGGGGCGAAGCTAGGATTTGAACCCATCAGGCTATGTGACTGATTGTGTTGTATCTGGTAGGATTATGTTCCATGGCAGCGGTCCAAGCAGAAAACCAAGCCATCTACTACTACTCTGCCTCCAGTCCTACAAACCAGAGGCCACCAGAAAAGCACAACGAAGACTTTGACTAGCATCCTGCCAGGTGGGCAGAGGCACTTGATGGGTGATAAGCAGATTGGGTCAGGATAAAGTGTATGGAAAGTGCTTCACCTTTGGTGACATCAATTATGTTAGACTAGGCTAATTGCTGTAACAAACAATCCCCAGGTTTCAGGTATTAGTACAGAAGCTTGTTTCTCATTTATGTCAAAGTACATTTGTGGATCTGCAGGGGAGGAAGTAATCTTTCTACATGATCATTCAAGGATCCAGGTTCCTTCAACCTTTATGGCTCTGACAGTTTGTAAGGTCTTGAAGTCCTCTGCTAGATACTTCTGCATTCAGCTGGTAGAAAGTAAAGAGAGAGAGGGCGTGTGTAAGAATATGGGTAGTTTTGAGGGCAAGTTTTTTTCAGGGCTTAGACTTGACAAGACATGTATCACTCCCACTCATATTCCAGTGGCCATAACTCAGTCATATGACCACCCTTAACCAAAAGGGAAGATGAGAAATGTTGTCCTGCTTTGTGTCCAAGAGGAAAGGAAACAGGGTTTTGTCAACTCAGGATAATCTCTGCCATGTTGTCATGTTGTCCAGGAGAGTTCTCAGGCCCTTGGCTCAGGCTGACACAGATTCATATCTTGGCTCTGCTGTTCTCTATCTTGGAAAGCCATTTCTCTCTCTGAGCTTTAGTTTTCTCATTTGTAGAATGAGGACCTGATAGAATTGTTGCAAGAATTAAATGAGATCTATGTAAAGCACTGTTGCTCTCAACCTTTTCAGACCCAACATTCCTTTTAATAACAAATACTGGGATCCCTGGGTGGCGCAGCGGTTTGGCGCCTGCCTTTGGCTCAGGGCGCGATCCTGGAGACCCGGGATCGAATCCCACATTAGGCTCCCGGTGCATGGAGCCTGCTTCTCCCTCTGCCTATGTCTCTGCTTCTCTCTCTCTCTCTCTGTGACTATAATAAATAAATAAAAATTATAAAAAAAATAATAACAAATACTTTGTAATATTTCTTTAGTATCTGAAATAAACTTCATAGAAAATATAACTGATCTATGTATATAATTAAAAAACTTAATATGCTTCCCTAAGTGTAAAGTAAAGGAAAAGTAAAGGAAGGTTACTTATAGTTAAATAACATATATTTCAGTATGTAAATGCTCAGGATGAACTCTACTAGATGACAAAGCTTACCCACAGATGTGGAATCATGTGTG